GGCTGCCCGGCGCGGGGCTGGGCCGCGCCGCGGCCTCCTCCCCGCGGCCTGCTCCGAGGCCGGGCAGTGGGCGGCCGCCGCGCCGCAACAGAACCCCCCGTAGGGCTCCCTCGGAAGCAGGAACTTGAGGAGCCTCCTGCTCCTGGAAAGCGCCGCAGCTGCAGCCGCGTTTTGGGCCACTTTAGCTGCTCTTGGCATGAAAAGCACTTGCTGGCCTAAGCCCCATGGGGTTCTGGGTCCACAATAATCAGTAGTGCCAAGTGCTGCAGCTCTGTGTAATGTGTCCTGGGCATCACAGATCAGCACTATGTACCCCAAGTGGGCAGGGAGCGTGCAGGGAACACGAGCACTGGAGGTAAATGCATGTGCGGCCCCGGCTCCTGCATATGCATCAGGCTTGGAAGGCAGCACACAGGATCTGCTGATTAAACTGTGTATTTTAAGGTGTATTGGATGTATATGATGTGGCACACAAATGCTATGGTTTGGGCCTGTAAGGAGGGGAAAGGCTTGGTTGGCAGAAATGTCCCATAAACTTGTTTTGAAAAATGGAGCCTTTTCTAGAGAGGATGAAGATGGAAGAGACAAAGCCACTGTGACGCCAAGGGGAGCAGCTGCTTGCTTTGCTTGTGCAGATCTGCGCTCACTCAGATTTTCACAGCCTCTGCAAGCAGCTGGGAGTCACTGGCTTCCTGGAAGCATCTTGTTTCCCAGGGGTTTTTTGCATTTTGCCCCATGTTACATCATCCAAAATGTTTTGGTCTCACTTGCCAGGAACAAGCTAGTTTTGTCTCATAGAGCATATTTTCCGAGCTCGTCCGGGAAATTGCCCTCCCTCCTGAGGTCCCTGTTTGTGCGAGGCCCGCAGCCTTTGTTCTAGGCTTTGCAGCGCTCGCTATCGCGGTGGACGTGACATCAGCTATTTATCTCAGCCTGCACTGAGAGTCCTATCGGCACCGCTCGTCACGCGCTCGCGGCTGGACCCAGCCTTCTGTTTTCTCACTCTCTTGAGTGTTGGCTGGTAATGCAGTGCACAGTGCGCATCAACGTGTTCTCCACAGCAAGGCTGTATGGTACAGAAATGCCGTATACTGATATGCTGCTCCGTTCTGCCACATGTAGGACAAGTTCTTCCTCTGGGTGCAAACAGAAAGCAACTGTGTCAGGAAGGAGAGTGGATGGTAGTGGATGGTGGGTGCTTGGATCAGTCCCAGTTGAATGTCCATGAGAAGCATCTCAGCAAGCCGGTCTCATGAGTGAGTCGAAGTGTGGCTGGGATTCCCCGCGTGTGGATTTGTGGCACAGTTCAAGTTCCTTGTGCAGAATTTGAATGCTGAGTTGTTTCTTTCGCTCTGAGGAGCTGGCCTGACCTCTGCAGAAAATCATCTGGCCTCTTTCTCCCTAAGTTACAGACTCGTCTGAGGGGCTAACAACCACTTCAGCTCTGCCAAACTGGATGTGGAGCAGCCCTTTAAGTCTGAGCCAGAAAGCCTCTTGCATTGTTTTTCTTTTCACAGCCTTTTAGTTGCTGTATTCATGATGCTCAGCAGTGACTTCCTGCAGTTTCTGACTAGAGCTGAAGATGCTGAAGTCTGGATAGGGTCAGCCCATAGCAGGGCAAGTACGGGTGCCCTGGGGCTGCCAGGATCACATTCACATGAAAGCACTTGCAGCTGTTAAGAACTGCTTAACTGGAAAGGCAGTAGGTGCCAGGCAGCTCAGGTCATTTCTGATGTTGCATTCCATAACAGCACAAACTACCAAATGAGTTAATGCTCCATAAAAATTGTCCATACTTTCTGCATGTCTTTATGTATCGCTGATGAACTGGAAATTCCAGTTAATGCTGTCAGAGAAGAATGGAGGTACCGACCTCAGTGGGAAGCATTCCCTTGGTTAACTCCAAGGGGGTCTGTGTGAATCGGGGAAGTTTGCCTCTTCTGTCCATTCCTGCAACCGTTTTTTTCCTATTCTCATGCTTTGTTCTAGACAAGGATTCTCACTTGTGAAGGGCACCAGGCAGTTTTGTCTGAGCAAATGCCAACTGAGAGCTACAGTTCAGAAAAGAGTATTTGGCCTAGAGCTGGTTGTTCTACATCTTTAACATCAATGAATTACTGCAGTAAGGAATTAGATGTTTGGAATAAATATCAGACCACCTCTCTGCAGGTCATGCATATGAAATTTTCTTCTGCATGTGTTTATGCATATGTGTCTTGATGGTTCGTCTGAAACAGAAAGTAACTGTACTGGGAAATGGCACTATTCATTCTGACTCTTGCTGAAGGAGATTGCTGAATCTGTTCCAGTGAGTTCAAGAAAAATATTACTGATGTGTTTGTTTTCTTTATGGGAAACATCAGACTGAGATACAGAATGTTTCTGATGATGAAGATTGTTGTGATCATTTTTAAAAGCTGGAGATTTGGTGAAAAGTGAGTGGCAACAATTACTTTAGTTACAAATATACTGCTCTTGAAGGTTCAGCTGGATATAGGATTCTTTTTCCACTTCTTACCTATGATGTTGAACACTTGCTTTTCTCTGTGCTGTTTAGGTGAATTTCAGAACTGTCAGGGCATCTTCTGAAAACTGGTGTCTCTGCATTCTAAGAGTCCTTTTGGAGGCTGACACTTTCCAAATCTGGTGCCAGTGAGGAAATATTTTTAAGGTTTGGTTTCAGCTTTCATGTATTCGTGTGCCTGAGTCTGTGAGCTGATGTGCTCTGACCTGCAGATCCGTAAGCTCTCAGCCTGTCCTGGGCGGTTCTGAGAACGCAGCAATAACCCAGCGCAGCACACGCAGCCCTCCAAAAACACAGCTCGCTTTTGCAGGTGCTTTTGCAGTAAAATAGCTCCAGCCAAAGCTAGTTGCAGCAGTGGGGCTAATTCATTGCCCCTCAGCTCCGACATGATCCTGTTAATCAGCATAGATTATAGAATGCTTTATACGGTGAATAAATAAGTACGTTCCTGTTTGACAGGTATAAGGACGAGGCCCAGAAAACTACTTTTTGAAGCTTGCATACTGAATTGGTGACAAACGTAGAAGAACCATCTTGGGTTACTCAGTTGCTACAAATATATACTGTGGCCTGGAACAGACACTATTCATCTGTTTGGTAGGTGAATTTAAAGTTTTCTTTGTAGAGATCCTTACACAAGCATTTCCACAGCATGAGAGAGAAATGAGTTTGTTACTGTGAGAGTAAATGGGGCATCTTCCCACTCAAACCTTCTATATCCTGGGCAGATTTACATTCTTAGCTGGTTAGATTACAGGTTACTGTATAAAATGATTAATTATATATCATGTCCATGAGCCTGCTGAGTCAGCACAGTTTTTGAGGTAGATGTTTCATATCCTCTTTGAGCTGCTTAACAGATTACCTGAGTCCTACGTAAGGAGAATATTTTAGTAGGTCATTGTTTTCAAATTCTGGATTTCTTAGCAGTTCACAAACTTTGTTTTTACTGCTAAGTGGAGCAGAATTCCTTTTCCATGAGAATCCATGAAACTTAAACCACAAACTGCATTTTTGCATTTTCTTATAAGGAGAGCCAAATATTCACACAGCCTATGGAGACAAGGCTAAATATGTCACCTGCTTCAGTAGTTTGCCTAGTTTGTCCCATTAGGTATGGCTTTGAGATTCACTGTTAAAAATGTATACAAATGCAGGCTTGTAGAAATTAGTTACTTTTAAGGAAGCTTTGTATTTCTAATTATGTTTATATCAAATTTCCAGAACTATGCCAAGGAAAAGAAAGCTGTTGGCTCAAATAAGTGCTCTCCAAAGCAAGTCCAGCATCCCTCCTTTTGATGGCTTGGAGGCCCTGAATGTCACTCCGGACAGGGATTCTTCTCCCAAAAGCAGCAAGTACTTTATGGTAGAGAAGAAAAATTCTTCCCATCTAGAATTGGATTTTTTTAACCAACCCTGTATTAGTCTGGCCAAGTCTCTTCTGGGACAGGTAAGACATGAATACTCGGAGTATTTTATTGCAGCATGTGCTAGCTAATAACTTAATGTAAGCAGATGAAATTCTCATTCTACAGTTTAATGCTAGAGCTTTGCTGTTTTGGGAATACAGGGCTTGTTCATTTTTGTGTTAAATTCACTGAATCTAGACTAATAGCTAAATCCATTTTTGAAGAAATCACAGGAATAATTTTTCAAGATGAGCTTACAGTCACATTTCAGAATGAGCTTCCTCCCTTTTTCCTGATCTTCTGAAACGTACTTTGCTGTTTGTGGTTTGAAGATTGTTTCAAGTCCATTATTTTTTGACTTTTGCTTTGCCCAGAGAAAAATAATGCTCTGTAGTCAGCATCATCTCCTCCCCTGCCTCCAGTTTAACACCTTGTGATTCTAATAGCACGGAAGGTTGATCAGTATCCACTGTCATACCATACTGGAATATTTCATTCTTATCTGAAAGTTCATCAGATTGCTTCGTCCTTCCTTTCACACTGCCCTCTATATCGGAATGTTGTATCTTGCACTGCTTTCTTTTATTTTTATTACCCTGCAAAACTTAGTGTGTTGGCAGACACACTGAGCTAACTAATAATCATTTTTATCAGGAGAGGTAGTTCCTTCACAGTTGTCTTTAGAAAAAGACAGTTCCAGCCCGAGATATCCCAAACACAATTGCAAAGTGTGCTTTAGGTTTTCTGCTGCGACCTTTTCTGAGTTCTTTTGTCCTTTTTTAATACTTTTATGGTCTGTATGGCCAACAAACTCTCTAACTTCTCATTGGTTTAGATAACTTCAGGAATTTGTTCCACTAACTGTTGGTTTTGGCCAGTTTTGCGGTGTCTAGCTTTGTTTTTTGATGGATGTTGTCCTACTTGTAATTGGCTCTGCTCTGCTTTTTAACCCTGCTAGTTTTTTTTTTTTTTTGGTCTTCCTAAATCTGTCTTTGATACGTCATACACATTTGCTCTGTTTATAGACATCCTGCTTGAGCCTTGCTTTTCCTGCTTTAACCTTTGGCTGCCTCTTTTAGGTTCTTCCTAACATGCTTCCTCATTTTACGCAGTTTCCCCTTTTTGCTGGGAAGCACTACTGTAGCAGATTATTTTTGGTCTGCATTGCTTGTGCAATGAGATTGAACTTTGTGGTTCATGATCATGGCACGAAGTCATTTTTCAGGGATGAGGGTCTGAACGATTCTCTTTCTGTTCAGGATTGGTTTGAGAGTTCAGTCTTCTCTTGTGGGATCCCTGATCACTCGTTCTGTGAAGCACTTAGTGGTATCAGCCTCCTGACCCGCTGTCAGATAACCCAGGTTACATGGGAATGCCCAAAATTTCCCTGTATCAATGTGGTTGCTCTTGTCCTAATGACCCCGATGTTCTTATGCACTCCATCAGTCTGGGAGGATGATAGTCTAGTCCTAATACTTCTCCTATTTTACAAGCTAGAAGAGTTCTGTATTGACTTCAGATTTTATATAGTATATAACCCCTTAGCCTGAGCCAATTTAGTCTCTTATAAATAGAACTACAATGTTTATTTTGTGTTTCATTCACTATTTTCATTCTACCAGATTTTGGAGGTGTCCATCATATTAATATTGGGTACCTGAAACAAGATACTTGAATTCTCCTCTGTTGAAAACAAAAGGATACCCAGAGTCATACAAGTTATAAAAAGCCTTTCAAAATGAACCTTTTTAATCCCAAAAGAGATGCTTAATGAGATATAAAAAACTCTAAAAAGAGCACTTAGTACAAAGGGTTATACATGCTCTTTGTGTCTCAGATGTGGATTGATATGCTTGAAGAGTCAGGGAAATGTCTGTTCCATAATGTTACTGTTGAATTTCATCATCTTGGAAGAGAAATTTGGCCACGTGGGTGTGCGCTGGGGTGTTCACAAGACAGTGACTAAACACCAGAGCTTTTCTGAAGTCACTGCATTTTTCATGAAGACAGAAAAAGCTCAATGATTTGGAAAGTGCTGTGGGGCAACTGCGCTATATAGGAGTTGCACTATTTGAGACATCTGGAGCATCCATACGAGATCTGGTCAGGAACCGCGTTAAATGTCCAGTGCAAAGATCAGACAGGAGTTCAGCTGCTTCTTGAAGGTCATGTCAGAATTGCTTGTTCTGAAATATGGAAGCACAGAATATAATTAAACCGATAGCTGCTGCCCAAATAAGACTATGCTGATGTATTTTATAAACACATATTAGACAAATTGAGATGCTTAGAAACCAGATTCAACCACAAAAACCTTGCGTAGAGTTTAGTTTTTTTAAAATTCGTTTTTTAAAGTTATTTTTAAAGAGAATCTGTTCAGGGTCATTTTATTTCCATCTACTTTGCATTATTTAAGGAGGCAACAGCAGCTGGGAACACACCGTAATAACAAAGATCTGTGGTTGCCTGCCTGAACCTTGTTGCCAGCTCTCCAGTACTGCCCCTCTCTGTAGTGTGGAACATACAGAAATAGCTTGGATATGCTGGTCACGATTATGTGTATGGTTAGGGACTAGCTTTTCTTTTTAATCCTTTCTTTGGAGAGGGATTGTTTAATTAGGCCAATGACATATTTCTTCCAATCTGAAGAATATACACTTCATGATGCTCCAGAGTTGGCACGGATGGTGCTTTTTCTCCTAGAGCATTAGATGTCCCGGTGGGGTCGGGTAGAATAAACAAAATAACCACAGAAACAGTGTTGTGGGCTGGGGCGATTGCTCCTTTAGTGCATATCGGATGATAAATTTATTCTTTGTGATACTGCCACATCCAAACATTCTAGACATTTGTTGGGGCAAATGACAGGTAAAAAGACCTTGCACTAGGATGTGGCCCAGACAGTAGATGCTGGTAAGAGTTCCCGTTAGGTTACGGAATGGATTAGAGGGAAAGGAGGGGATCTTTTTCCCCTCACTTCTTTGTTTCCACAGCTCTTGCAGTGGTTATTTTGTGTGGCAGGTTGCTAACTGATGCACTCTGACCTGTATTCCAGATTTTAGTTCGCAAACTTCCTGATGGCAGAGAACTCCGGGGGAGGATTGTTGAAACAGAAGCTTATCTGGGTGGGGAAGATGAGGCTTCCCACTCCAAAGGTGGGAAGCAAACTCAACGAAACACGGCGATGTTCATGAAACCAGGAACTCTGTATGTGTATCAGATCTATGGCATTCATTTCTGCATGAA